CGGCGAGTCGCTCTCTTCTCCATTTCACACCGGGGACACCTGCAGACCAACAGCGGAGACCAGATCTCCTTTCTTCGTATCTCAACGTAACACGGGCCTAACACAGACACGGAACAGTGTGGCTAAGTATCCATCTGACAGACAAGAGCGAATCGAGAGGTGCAGACCAAGGAAGTGTCCCTTTAGTTTACAGTAATCCATAGAAAGAGAAACCCTAACAGCACCGCCAGGGCCTGAACGCTCCCTTACTGACACGCAACGCCCCTCACAGCCGTCTGGAAGCTGCAGGCGGTGTCTGTGGCTGGCGTGAGCATGGGCGTGGGGAAGCCTGGCGTCGTTAGATTATCTCCAACCAAGGGTTAAACTAGGAGCTTATCAAGTGCCAAGGTGTGTGGAGAGCTGGGGGAAAGCCCGGTGAAAGGATGAGTGGAAACGGGAGCCGGGTGGCGGTGACGGCAGGCTCAGGTCGCGCTCCGCGAGGACCGCCCTTCGTGGCACCCTCTGCGCCTCGGGAAGCGGCTGCTTTCCGCAGGGGGCCGTGTTTTTTCCTCCTGTTCAGGTGCTGTTGTTAAACAAGCAAGATGCCGGGAAAACAAGCCTTTCTCCTCACTTGTTACTGACTTCTGGTGACAAGCAGGCTGAATGTCCAAGACGACTGTTTTAGGAGGAATTCAGGATCTTGAGCAGTCTAGCCAAGGCAAGCAGGCCTGGACCGCAGCTGACCGTGAGCCGCGCACACTCGGGCGGCCCGACCTGAGTCAGGAGCTGCAGCCCAGGGATGATGGTGCCCAGTCCCCTCCCAGCTGAAAGGGAAGCGCCTCCCCTCCTCCCGCCACCTTCAACTCCCGCGCTCGGGCCTCAGCCTCTCCGCGAACACGCACGTCCTGAGAACAGAGCTGCCTTACCCGTCAGATCTACAAGGGAAGCTGTACTTTAAACGTTTCCCCACATCACCGAACGGATCATCCGAAGGCCCCAATTCACTCCCCGGGAATAGGAGTAAGGCCACAGAGCACAATTTAAAACAAAATGTGTGCTATAAACACTGATTCTGATAAAAATATTTATGGATGAAATTACATGCTGCCTGGGATTTACTTGAAAATCACTGAGGACGGGAGAGAGTGGAGAGAGACACGGAGAAACCAGGTGTCCACGAGCTGATGCTCGCTGAGGCTGGGTGAGAACCGGGAGTCAGCAGCACTGTTCTCTCCTTTACTTCCCCAAACAAAAGGATAGAAGTTTATTCTGACAACATTCTTTGGCGTACTGATAAATTTAAAAAGGTGGGAAGACAGGGTAACTCTGCCCCGTCAGCGAGAGAGCAGAGGCCACTGGGCCCTAAGTGCTCGGAGAGGTGCGCGCCCCATCACCCTCGACCAGAGGCGTCTAGTCACAAGCACGACGGACGTCGGAGAAAGACGACGACTTGGAAATTCCTGACTGGAGACCCCAAAATGGACAAATATCTCTGTACTGTCATAAATGTTTCCCTTACATTCACCCTAAATAACTTAGCTTTAAACCCTACTATGCTGAAACTATCCTTGGAAATAACAAGCTCGCCTTTGCTCTCACAGGAGAGGTTAAGGACGTTGAAAAGCCCCCCAGCCATGAGGCAGTGACACCCCACAGCTTCACTCGCCCACTGCTCAGCTCGGCGCACGCTGTCCGAGTGCTCCGAACTGGACCGACCGGTGGCTGAAGGAGGCCTCGCCTACGTCTCCCACCTGAGCTACAGGAGCGGGGTGCCGACAGCGGCTAAGCGGTGACCTGTGCCGTCGACGGAGATGCGTCAGCTGTCCTGTCAGAGCGAACACACCAGCCGCCGTCTACCGCAGCATTAGACACGCTTCGGCCGGAGTGGCCACCGTCCCGGGCTGTGTCCCATGACACCCCCCCCAGCTGGAACTCCAGGCAGCAGTGAAGCGCCGATCAGGCCACAGGGGTCGGGGAGACGCTCAGGTGCCTGCTCCGTTTCCCCGAGCGCGGCTCTGAAACACGGAATAACCGGAATAACCGTCCGTGGTGGCCACGCCTGCACTGCCAACTCCGCCAGCTGACGGGGAAGAAACAAATCAACTCACTCCTGAGGCCATCAGGCAACTTAGAAGCCATTTGTTTTTAACTTAAGTGGTACTTTGAGGATGAAATTTAAATGTAAGTTTCTCTACCTTCTGATCAATTACAAAAACTCAAACTCAGTGGTAGGCTGCCCAGTGAAGACCCTGCTAACACGGTCCGCACCCTGCTGGGGCCCAGGCCTTCGAGGCGGGACAGGCACCCTCTCCGCAGGAGGAAGGGGAAGCGAGAGAGCGGCAACGAGAACAGGAAGCGAGACGCCCGGAGCGACCTTCCTCGAGCGCAGCCGGCCTGTGGCACACGCCCCGCGGTCTGCGGTCGGGGATTTGCATGCGGGCAGCACACGCAGACCCAGAGCCTGCGGGCAGAGGACCCAGAGGAGGCCGCGAGGCCACACTTTTCGGAAGGAGAAGACTGGAGGCTGGTGACTCAGCCGCGATCACAGAACCAGCTGCCAGGGAGCTGCTGCCCTTCCACCCCCCAAGGGAAAGAAGGCCCCACAAGGAAAGGTGCCCTGTATAATTAATTCCATTCCAGCGCGAAGACATGAAGCTATCCAAATTAATGCCCACCGAAACCACACATTCCAATCTTGGCAACAGCCCCAAACAGAAGCAACCTTTCACTTGTTCATGCAACAAGTATGTGCTGAATGCCTACCACATGCCAGGCCTGGCAAGAAAAAGTCAGCGCCAATACCTTCTGTCAGGAAGACGGGCGTCACATAACCACACAAATGCAAACTACAAGTTACGGTCAGTACAATCAACTGCAACAACCGAACTTAAAATCTCGGCAGAAGTGAGAACTTTAGGCTGAAACCCAAAGAACAGACAGGGAGTTAGCCAGATGGGGAGTGGGGGTGAAAATGCCCCAGGCGACACACACGGCCTATGGTCCAGCAATTCCATCCCTAAGAACATGCCCCACAGAAATGTGTACACATGTGCACCAACAGGCATGGGCAAGACGGTCACTCTAGTGCCACCCGTAAGGGGAAACACTGAAATGAAGCAGTGTCAAAGGACAGACACCGGAGTATTCCTACAGTGGGACACTACACAGCTACCGAAGTGAACAGGCCACTGCCACAGGCTGCCACTCGGGCGCCTCCCACTGCGACACTGAGAAAGAAGCCAGCACCGCACAACACACAGGGAATGGTTTCATTTCTGCTCAATTCAACCAGATAAAACTAACCTATGAGGTAAGAAGTCAGAACAGAAATGATCTCTGGACTACGGTGGAGATAACTGAAGAGGAAACGAGGGACCTTCTGGAGAGCCAGCACCAATGTCTATTCTCGACCTGGAGGTGGTAACACGGGTGTGTGCACTGAGGTACTTCAAGTTGCACATTTATGGTTTATTACTTTTCTACAAATGTGAATAAGTTTATTTTTAAAGATAACATTTTAAGCAGAGGGAATAGCATGGGTAAAGACCCTGAGACCAGAGAGAATTTGGCACATTCAGAACTAAAAGGTCAGTGTGGCTGGAACACAGACACCGAAGAGCACTGGACTCAAAGTGTAGTGTCAACCACTGAAGGGCAGTAAGCAAGGAAATAATGTGACCAAATTGTGTTTTTAAAGACTGGACCGTGGGTGGGAGGTAGAAGCAGGGAGACCAGGGGCAAAGGCGATGACAATGGTTCATGAAAGGGACTCGTGGACTGACTGGGACAGAACCAGCTAGACAGTGAATGAAATTAGGAGGCCGAGCTGACAGGACTTGGGAGTGGAGTGAACGTGTGGGGGGGGCAGGCATTCAGGGGGATGGTGTGTGATCCAGTGAGATAGGCAGACAGAAGAAAGCAGGTCTGAAGGAACGCAGCGGTCAGCGGAC